AAAGATATAGCGTCTGGGGTCTTAAAAGCTTGAAGGTAAACAAGCGGCCATCTAGCTCAGAAGCAACAAAGCCCACATAGAACAACATATCAGCCTGTGCAAAGTTTAAATTATTACATTATGGTGAGTTTTACCAGAGAACTATTCTGCCAGTATAAGAGAGCCAATATGGCATGATGGAGTACAGCATATTCCTTGGAGTCAAATTGATCTAAATACAGCAAGCAACTAGAAATATACCTTCCCTAATTCTCTTCACACCATCCTTAGAGACCTGCTTTTTGTGTGTGCAGAGTATCTGATAACTATACCCACAGATATCTATTTTGACTTGTCATTCACATCTAAACTTTAGGTCTGCCCAATTTACACTTCTGAAGACCCAAGAAAGGATAATAATCCTCCTCCCCCACTTTTTTTAAGTTGGTAAGATTCTATCCTAGAGAAAAACAGTGGGAAATCCTCATTCAATTTCCCTCGTCCTATGGATCCCACCCTGGTTTTGTGCTAAAGGCAGGAATAGGGTTTGCCTAAGCTAGCTTGGGGTGGTAGGCCAGGTCAGAAGAAATTATGGTAGGTGATAAGGGAGTGAACAGGAATGGGAAACTGTAACAACTGGGGATGAAGGATACTTGAGAATTTTACTTGAAGATATTCTCTTTTTTTTAAAATCATTTTATGGGGGGAAGATATTCTTTTAAAAAAATCATTTTATTGGGGGTTTGTACAATTCTTATCACAATCCATACATACATCCATTGTGTCAAGCACATATGTACATTTGTTGCCATCATCATTCTCAAAGCATTTGCCTTCTGCTTGAGCCCTTAATATCAGCTCCTCATATTTCCCCCTCCCTCCCAACTCCCCCCTCCTTCATGAACCCTTCGTCATTCATAAATTATTATTATTTTGTCATATGTTACACGGTCCAACGTCTTCCCTCGCCCACTTCTCTGCTGTCCATCCCCCGGGGAGGAGGCTATATGTAGATTCTTGTCATTGGTTCCACCTTTCCACCCCACATTCCCTCCACCCTCCAGGCATCACCACTCTCACCACTGGTCCTGAAGGGGTCATCTGTCCTGGATTCCCTGCGTTTCCAGGGAGGAGGCAATACTTAGATTCTTGTAATCGGTTCCCCCTTTCCACCCCACATTCCCTTCACCCTCCAGGCCTCGCCACTCTCACCATTGGTCCTGAAGGAGTCATCTGTCCTGGATTCCCTGTGTTTCCAGTTACTATCTGTACCAATGTACATCCTCTGGTTTAGCCATATTTGTAAGGTAGAATTGGGATCATGATAGTGG